AAGGGCGGCTCCCTGGAATGGAACTTGTCAATGGCAGTGAGGACCTCGTTGTGCTGATCCGAATGTTCCGGGTACCCAAACTGAATCAGAGCGAGTTTCAAACCGTGCTGCATCTCCTCGTCATCTGGCATCGTGCGGTCTCGAAACTCGAGGTCCAACATCATGGCAGCAACATGAGCAGGCGACTTGAACATGGTGCGGCGTCTGTCAAACACGTCAAGCAGCGCGTCCTGCTCGTCCTTTTCCAAAGCGGCACATGCAGACAAACAACGCGCGATCATCTCGTCGTACCGCCGCGGAATCTTGCCAATCTGCCTCGTGTCGCTGTCCACCATCTGCAGCATGTCCATGATGGGATCCAACAACTTGCACAGCGCTCTCATATCCTCCCACCATTGMGGACAACCGACACATGCTGTGACCTCCGCGGCGTCCTCTCAAATCTTCTTCGTTGATCAAACAGTGTCCTTCCATTGATCATCAACGACCACCTGCATAAGATGCGATTGCAGCAGAAGAAGTCGTCGCATCATAATCACATGTGTACCGAAGCGAGTCTCGGCGGGAAGCAGCAGAGCCTTCGTCGTGAAAGCTTGCAAAACTTCGCGAGCGTGGCTATGACGCTTGAAAAACTTTGTGACCAAACGCGCCTGAGCAATGCGGGTCGCCACCCAATCAATGCCGCCGATATCCTCAAGGATGAGGTCCATGACGTGTGCCACACAAGGAATCCAGAAGATGTGCTTGACACTCTCATCCTTCTGGAATACCTCCATCGCAGAAACGTTCGAACTGGCAGAGTCTGTGACGAAAGCGGTGATGTCRGCGAGCTTGATGTCAAGGGACTTCAACCTTCGCAGCCAAGCCTGCGTCAGAGCAGTGGCATCCTTCTTTCCTCGCATAACATCTGTCGCGACGTATGTGGCGCCCCGTGTAGTGCCGACGACATAGTTGCACAACGTTTGGCCCCGAATGTTGGTCCAACCGTCTGTCATTATCGTGCAACCGTAGGCAGCTGCAGTAGCGAGGACAGGTTTCACACACTTTTGGACTTCCACATCAAGCTCATCCAAAAGTGTGGTACGGATCATGTGATACGTTGGGGGTTTTGGGGTGGGGACTCCTGGAACCCCAGGCGGGATGATCAACGTCAACATGCGTTTGAAGCTCTCAAGCTTCACACAGTTGAACGGCAT